AGGCCCCAGGAGTGCTTCATGGGTATCTGCGGTCATGAATCAACAAACCTTGGACGTCTTGGGCTTTGCCTTGCCGAGATGCAAAATCAGAAGGTCCCGGAACAGCTCCTGCTCCTCTGCCAGCTGTCGATTGAAGTCCAACAAGCGAGAATTCGTCAAAGCATCCGGCGCACACATGGCAAAGGCATAGGTGATATTCTCGGTACCCGGCCAGGTCAACATTTGCAGCCAGGTCCTCCACGACACTAGCTGTGGCATGACGTTTGGCTGCCGGTTCCCTATGATTCCCTATTCACCAGGGAAGGCGAATCATTCTTTTTCTTAGGGTGCAGTGAATGGCCCACAAACTGTGTGTTTCCACACACTCATCGACTAAACCACACATGCAACCACCTGGTGGAGTGTGGTTTTCCGGACCATGACCGTCCAACATCCCATAGTTGTTGGATAACGCTGTGTACACTGCAGTGAGAGTGAGATTGGTCAAATCCCATGACATCCCACATATCGGTGTGTCATAAAGATATGGAGACCACCAATTCCGGGCCGGCTTGGAAGGACGGCCCGGAAGCTCTTCCGAACCTTCCGCAAAAATCGGAAGACCGGTCTCATCATCTCCCGACAGTGCCAAAACACACACATTCAACATTACACAACCAATTCTCATCATCATCATCATCATCACTTCTTCTCCCCTCCTTCGGATCGCCCTCCGCCGCGCGAAGTTCCCCGGCGCCGTCATCACCAGCAGCGCCAGGCCGTGCAGCGAAGCCGCGTCCTCCGCCGCGGCCGCGGCGGTCCACACGGCGCGCGCCGCCGGCGCCGCACGGCGGAAGAACTCGTGGGCCGTGGCGGAAGAAGTCTGGGAAGGTTGGATGGCGAAGTGCTCCTCCAAAAAAGCAGCAGAATTGGTGATACGTGCAGGTGCAAAATCAGAAACATCTAAACGATTCCGAATACTATAGTACTATATGAAAACATGTCCTACATAGTCTATATAGTTATCATCCGCCGACCCTCCGCCACGTGCAAAGGCGAGGCGTGTCTTGTGGAAGGTTGCTTGTAAAGATAGCTTGTAACAGCTTTTGACCTTGTTCTTAGAATGTTCCTTGGCGCGGATGTTTCGTTTCACTGACTTCACCCCCCCGGTTGTTGTTGATGTTCTTGTTGCTGTTCTTCTTCTTCTTCTTTTTCTTCTTCTTCTTCTTGTTGTTCATACCTAACTACGACTTGGCTCTTACGCTTGCTGCGACCGGCGCACCAGGCCCCTTCGGCCGTGCCAACTGCCCGGGCAGCACGAGCCCGAGCGCAGCGGCGGGGACACCTCCCTGGGCCTCCTGACCGGGACGGACCCGGCTCCTCTGCCGGCAGGGTCTGCGCCAGCAGGTGCGGCGCGTGTCCCAGGGCAGCGAGGTGCTTCTCGAAGTCGGAAACGTCGAAGTCCCTGCAGCAGGTGTCGTAGCTGTGCTCGCCTCACGACCAGTCTCAAGGGGGTGGTTCCTTCCCCCTGCAGGTGAACTCGGCGGGTTGAGGTGTTTCTGTGGAAGAAGCTCGGCGAGAAGCATGAATGGGGCAGGCATGTGTGTGGTGGGTCTTGGGTGTGGCAATGGGCAACCTGCTTCCATTTCTTGGATGTTGGGGTCCCAAGAAAGGAAGGAAGGACATGCGAACTACACGAGTATACTGAGTATACAAACCCATCTTGGTCTGGAGAAAAGCCTTTGTGCCGTCTCGGCTTCAAGTGGAGAAGAGTGTCCAACAAAACTAGGTCACAAGTTTCAACCTCGATGAGCTGCTTCAAGGATGTCATCAGCTTTTTTTTTGTGGTTCCCATGCAGTTCATATCCTTGTGATGCTGGAGGGTCTGTGCGTCGCTTTGCTTGGACAATCCAGCAGCTAGGGAATCAAGCACATCATGCAATCTCTGTCAATCTCTAGGATCCACATACCAGTACATTCTCAGAAGGTACGTCTGGACCATCTTGGACCCTCCTGGTGCCTACATCAAAGTGTCTCTAATCACCCTCTCGAAGGGTATATATATATATGTGGATGTATAGGGAATGATTCTGGATGAACTTCCGAAATTGGTCTCGAGGTGACCACAAGGCGAGCACCGTTGAACGAAGCTACTTTGTCCAGTGGAAGGTGAGTCCACCAGCCAGCCCTCAAAAGCACATCACACGTGGAATCATTTGATACATTCGGTAAATGGTAGGACCATGTAAGGCCATCCCTTCTGTGTGCAGCTTGACCGGATCCTGCCGGCACATCACACCATTTTATACAGTAGCCTTTTCAACCCAGTTCACTCCATCACTCCTGTCAAGCCATCACAACGTTTCGGCCACCTTCTGGCCCGCCCGGGGGCCCCCCAAGCCTTGCCAACAAGAGGGGTGCCGACCCCAGCAGCAAACATCAGCACCTCGCCAAGAAAGAATCCGGATGAATCTGGTCTGGTGCCCCTTCAAATCATTTTGCACTTGAACAAGAGCGACCTGTGACAATGTCTTCATCTGCCACGACTAGCATGCTTGTCAGCTGGAATGCGAGGCCAAACGGGCTTATAGAGCAAGATTCCAGGTACAGACTTTGCTGGACTGGAGTTGGGCAAGTGTCTTTGGTCTAAGGCAAAACCCCGGAAGCATCCTGAATTCCATGGTGCGTTTGTATTTTTTGGGGGGGGGCTAATCCGTCTTTGATCATCATGTCATTCTATCATCCGCAAAGGATGGTGACTAACAAACTCAAGACTCACACCAAATGCTCCCAAAAGGAAAGCCACATTCATTGATCAACTTCCTGGAACAAAATGCTGAATCCTCTGGAGTTTCGTACCGTGTTCACCATATTTCCTTCTTTGAGGCAGATTGCTAAAGCCCTCGGACTTCAGCCAAGCATTGTCGAACCATTCGCTGCAGGGCCCACCACGCAAAGCCAGGGCATTCTCCAGCGCAGCCAGGGCGAGCCAACGCATTCGCCGAAAACCAAACTGGCCTGGTTTTGCCAGGAAAATGAGGTACGCACCAGGCACATCAAGTGCATTAAAAACAATCTGATTCATATTGACCCCGAACCAATAGTACGGAAGTGAAGAATCTAGCTGGTTGGAAAACCAAGTTTCTCATAGTTTCTCTACACATTACGATGATTGAATTTGTATGACTTGTATGACTTTGTATACAACGCACACTTCCATGTTCGCTTCAATGCCTTTCATGATGCTTCACAAGGTAGGCTGTAGGCTTGTTAAAGGTTAACGTGTCGTTGTTGGGGTTCATGTCCTGCCCGCCCAGCCTGGTTCTTAGATTTTGTGGTTCCCGTGCAAGCAGCGGGCAGGTCCAACGCTTGAAAGGTTGAAATCCATAAAGCTAAAACATGCTAAAACCCTGGGAGTCCAAGACCATTTAAACAAGGTTAACCTGGTGTTGGAGTGTAAGACTCCTAGTGCAATTTGTCGTTCAGTAAAGGCCAATTTAATATATATACTTACGGACTGGGACTTAGAATGGGTGGTTGTGGATCGCAGAAGGAAAGAAAAACGACCGGATCGAACAGCAAACCCTCAAAACATGCATATGGTGCAGTGGAATGCCTCTCCTGAGGATCAAAAACAAGTAAAAAACCATGCGCATATTGGGTTGACGAAAACATAGATTGTCTCTCTTCATGACTCAACCGTTCATGAAAGCTTAGGATCACTTCCCATTCCAAGTTCCAGTCCGGTATCCTAAGTTGCAGCTCTAAGCTGCTGATTTGCTAAGATTCGATTACGGCAGCAGGCCCAAACCCATTCCAACTCTATAAGGAAAATGGGCGTGGAATTCTTCCCCATTCTTTTTTTCTCAGTCCGCGAGCATATATGCTCATCTAAACAATAAAAAAGTAATGGTTCGAACCCCAGGGACAACACTTGATGTCATGTGATTCTTCCAAAGCAGCCTTACACTCCCCCCCTACCCGCTAAACGTTTCGCAGCCACCACGGAACATGGCGGAACCGATCCTGGAACTGCACCGGCCAGATCCGTCTCCAAGTGTTGCCAAGGCAAGTGCCATGGCTTTCCGCTGAAGGAACCGAGAAAGAACTAAAACACCAGCCTCCCCAGAAGGACAATTCACCCAAGATGGAAAAATAACGGCAACACCAAGATGAAATACATTCATTCGTCTTTACTCCACTTTACTCCGCATGTGTCTTGTTTACAGTTCTGTGCATGAAAACGATCCCCCCAAAGGGGACAAACCAACCATTCAACCAACAGTTGCGGTGGAGTAGAAAGGCAATCTCAGTGTCACTGGGCAGTCGAGCCTGGTTTTAAAAAGGCTCAAAATGCAAAAGCAACCATAACCGTGGTGACCACTAGCAAAACAGGACAAACCCAAGCAAACCCCTTTTGAATTCTGTTGTCCTGGCAGCGAAGTTCTTCTAAGCTCCAGCGGTTAGTTTTCTCCACTATGCTTGGCAGGGATTTTATCTGCAGCATGTTTCAGTGACCTGCAGCGATTCCAGGTATCCACTGTGACACATGTGGTGGGCTGGCCTCAACGAACGAACCTGTCAGTCTCGGAGTCTCTGTCTCTTCAGATGCCTCGAGCCGCCCAAATGTTCTGGCACGATCACTGGCGCGGCTTCGCGTCACAAAGTGAGAGAACTTGACAAGCCTTGACACCTCAACAACTATGTGTAGCTATGTGTCAGCTATGTGCAGCTTCAAGTCACAGGTATTCTAGTTGAGCATTCCGAATTAAAACATAGCCGACTGACTGATTGGATATCTGTTGAACCGGAAAACAAGCATCTCAGTATTTCGTCCAGGTCTTGGCACAGAACTGGGTGGGATGAACACCTTCCGAATCTTCCTAATCCGGAAGGACCATCAGAAGGTCTGGAAGGACCAAAGGGGCTGCCCGGTACGTTTCGAGACGACAAGCATGAAACAACTGAGGGACACGGATGGCCCTCCACACGTCGGGTCCGAAATCGACTCGGCCCCGGACGGTTGCAAGCTGTATCTTCCAGTGGATCCCCACCTGCGCCCAAAGGACAATTCGCATGCATGAAGAGTGTTTCACCTTGAACATGTTTCTTCGGTATTCTTCGGTTTTTTCTCGGGGCATGGAAGTCAAAAGCGGGCCACTCAGCTGAGGTGTTGGGGGTGTTTGGGAACAAGCACGGAACAAGCTGGCTACCCCATCGAACATGCTTGTACATCTTTTACAAAGGTGTGTTCGGGGTGCAGTTGATGAGGGTATGAAAAGCGTCCCATTGGCCCATGGTCCTTGGTATCTGTATGTGCTGGCCCTCTTGGGGGCAGGGGCTAGGAATGACGGTCTCACAGCAAATGGCACAATCCCCCAAAGAAGGTTTCGGTTAGTATAGTTACTATACATCTTGGGTACTATCTTGGGTATACTATATAAGTATACATATCCCAAAAACGTGGTATACTAAGTATACAGTATACATCTTGGCACCAGCACCACCCATTTCGGGTTCCTTCTTGGAAGATCGATCGTCCCAGGGGTACTGTATACACCACTCTTTGGGTGCTGCGGCCTGGAACTATCGCACTTGAACACACCCAAAACCAAGCCATTTGGGAGTGGTGCTGGCGCTTCCGAATCAATGGAAACCCCTTCATTTCCAACCACTAAGCACCCCCCAAAAAAAACAAGAAGCACCTCCCACACATTTGCATCAGCAAGAAGCAGAAGAGCTCCAATCATACTGCCTTCAAACGTCCGACTCCGCGGAAGCGGAGAGTCGTCTGGGCTTCCGAGCCAAAGGCGTCCAGATGGCTCGTCCCAGTGCAAGCGAAAGGGCCTCAGCGCTTCTCGGCGGATGGAAGCGACACATGCCCAGGCTCGTGGTGTTCAAGGGGCTTGACATGAAGGTTCCACCCCCAAAAATCTCCACGAAAAGGACCCCCAAAGGCACAAAACGATCAACCACCAGAACCTTCCCACGGACCGGAGTGGGTGACCTTTGACCGGCAACCAGTGGCCTCAAACCAGTGTAAGGAATTTACAAAGAGAGACCGCGCCTACTTGGCGCGAGATGTTTGCACACCGCGCGATGTTTTGGTGGGCCCATGCATGTTGTTCCAGGTCTGATCTCCAGCAAATTTGCTGCATGCCCATCTGCTGGTCCACGTGCAACGGGATGCCCACTTGGATAGGAATCTCCTAAAACCTAGAATGCTTTATACCAGGAGTACTACCAGGAGTTGGGCGGTTTGGTTCGTCCCATCCAGTGAGTGGATGATGACCACCCCTAACCTCCATGGATAGCACCCATTAGCACCCCTTTGCGACTGCTACATAACTGCTTCTATTTTCCAAAGCCCAAGCAGTTCCTCCAAGCTCAGCTCGCATCGGTTCCTCCCGGCTTCTCGCCGGCCCTGCCCAGCGTCCTTGGCTGCCTGGCTTTGCTTCAAAGCCGCCCTGCCAGGGCAGCGGCGGCACCGACCAGCTCGTATACCAAGCAGCCAACAGGTGTCCAGATTTTACACCTCCATATACCTCCATATCAAGAGGTGTTGCAATCCAAAATTGAATTTTTATCAAGAGTCTACCTAGACCTACCTGCTGCCCGAAACAATGGGCCGTGAAAATGGACCCTTGTAAGATCTCGTAAGACTAGCGCCATCTACCACCCAGTGAATTTCAGAGTCCATGTTCTTCAACAGGTGGGTACATCTCATGCTGAGGCATCCCGCCTTGAAGCTTGGCACTTTGGGTTGTGATGAGCCGAATACCTTTGACCAAACGCCTTCGATGGTGTTCGTTGAAAAAGACAACACATCCACAAAAACGGCTCCAAAGACTTGGACCTCGTGGGACCCGTGGGTCAAACCCCGGAAACCCATGGAAACCCTGGGTTGACCACAGAAAAACCTGAACAGAATAGACTACTACTAGAGACTAAAGAGGTCAACCTAGTCTGGGTGAAACCGGCGTCTGAACCACAGCCACGTCTGCTTGAAGCGTTGGGTCTCAGGAGTCGCCAGGGATCTTCCTCTCCTAGCCTATTGAGCTAATCAGGCTCCTGGGTCTGTCTCACCCTCCCCACCCTGCAACTCCAGGACTTCCCACGCAGCTCAGTCGAGCTCCGCGTCCTTCGTTCTGCACCGACCGATCGACGCCGAATCGACGACGACGTGGGGACCGAGCGCCGCGATGCGCCGCGCGTCCGGAACACCCGCGACATCCGGTCCCGAAGAGCCCAGACACGACCCGTTCTGGGACTGCCATCGGACTGCCGAGAAACGGCCGAGGGGTGGTTGACGATTCAATGGGGCGGCATGGCGGTGCCATGGAGTGTCTGGGTAGTACTAGAGTCACTATATAGGGGTTTGATACTCGAACGCCAGGTCAATGATCTTTCAAAGCTGCTCGAGCACTCCCAGAGGATTCACCAACCTCAAGCGACATCAACAAGCATGACGTCGCAACCACCACCTGTTCTCTTCCCACCCAATGTCACCTCCATTTCGATCCCTCACCTTGAAGCGCATCACATCCATCCCTCGAACCAGATACGATTCGGTCTCATCCTGGCACGCGAGACGGTCGTGACCGTCTCCTCCGGGTCTCTCGGGTCTCGAAGCGGCTCACCATCCGAGCACGATCCGAGTATATAGATCCAATGAATGAACGCACACACACACACAAAAAAGGGTGATCTAGGGTTGAAACAAAGGCATACAAAAGGCACAAACATGCACAAACTATCATCACACACCACAGAAGCCAGCAAAACCGTGGGCAAATTGAGGGTGGAATCGGAATGGACGTATGTGAGTGTATGATACATCATGGTACTATGTATGATGCCATGCTCCAAAAAAGATCTCAAAAAAAAGAGGTCGGTCGGCCGGAGCTTTCTGAACTTTTCTTCATCGAGACCGAGACGATCGTCACGAGACGATCGTCACACGTGCATCTCGACCAATTGAAGGTTCCAAGAAGGACCCTGTCTCCGTGTGAAGACCACGGCAGGGGTCGTGGTCTTCACTCACCGGGCGGCGGCTCGTAGCTACCGGAGGCCGGCCACAGAGGCCCTTTCGCACCGTGGTCTTTCCGATCCAAACGTCACACGACGCAACACCAGCACACGACACGAAACGAACACACGCAAAACTCCACGTAAGACGTCGAATCGACGCCTGATTCCTTATTAATGCATGAACTGAACCCTGCAATATTCTCCAACCCTCATGAGACACGGTGTGATGCAGAGATCCTCCAGGATCCAGATTAGGCAATCGTGCAGCAGAAGTTCGAACGAGAATGCAGTCAAAACACAAACACGGAACATCGTGAATTGACCCACACTACTATCCCATCTTGCTGTCTAGCTCTTACAGGTCAGCAGCAAAATGCCTGGTCCCTCTTCTACTCCCCGAGGAGAGAACATTGTTGAAAGTTGATTCCAAAGCATACAAACAAACAAACACACACAAACACATCAGGTTGCTAAACTTGTTGGTGGGCGGTGGTTAGACCTAAACACATGATAAACCATGTTTGTTATTGGGGTGACTCATCTCAGGTCAAGGGTTGAGAGCATCATCCCAAGTTTCGCACAGAATCAGAAGAGTTCGATTGAGACCCAGTCAGACCACCCACACTGAGGAGTTCCAAGCCGAAGTCCACTCACTGGGCATTCCGAACCCTTCTGAACTCACTGGACAGCACCCTTTGGGCAGAACTCCAACCGACTCCCTCAGTTTTGCTGGCGGTTGAGCACACGTTCCACCTGCTTAGTGGGATGTTCCTTATCCCTCCAAAAGGTTCGAGTTGATTCACTCGTCCTGGATATTCCTGGATAGGCCATGTTGAACTGTTGAACATGCCCAAACCAAGTATATAGAACTCCAAGCTTGCCAGTGGCACCACATAATTTCTCCAACACCCCTGAAGCTCGGCCATGATCGCCTGGCGGATGTGAGGAAGAGCGTGACCCACCCGGATTGCTGGGCCTGTCGAACGATCTAGTTTTTTTGAGTCGAAGATCCTGTAAAACCATGGCCCTACGGGATTGGAATCCTATACGAACATCCCGGAATCGCAAACGACGCAACGGGATGGTTTATTCTCCAACATGTCAGAACGGTCCTTCTGCGCACACAACGTGTTCCACAAAACGCGTACCCGCGTTGGGATCATGATGCTGTAGGCATCGCGCACAGCATGTGGAGCTCTTGGGTCGCGTCCTTTTTCAAGACCTGACCCCCGCCTGGGTCGTACCGTTCGAACGGTGAGCAGTGAGCATGATACGTACGAGTAGTGATGATACATATATAAGCTACAGAATATGGTACAATTGGATTTGTTGCAGTAGGATTGAGGTTTAAACTCACTGACTGACTGACTGACTCCCTCCCTCTCTCCAATGTCTGGCTGTCGCAAAAACAGTGAAGCTGCAGAAACCATTGAAGAACTAAACACATCTGCAGAACTGGGCGCAACACATTGCACATCTGACACACACTTCTCAACGCTTTTCGATACACCTTTACTGCGAATATACATGTCTATTTTTGGATATTTTTGATATACCATTCCCATTACCAGTAGCAGTGGATGCTGGTGGTTAATCAGGTTGCATGCCTTTTTCTAATAACAGTGATCAATGGTATGCCGACTGACAGATAATAGGACGACCCAATGTACTACCCAAATGTCTCTTCATAATTATCCTTCCAATTTTTGGGGTTCACTCAAAGCCCTCCACACTGCACCGAAAACGACTGCGACCACGCAGTAGAAGCGGCACCTCCTGTGAGGTGCCCACGGGCCCTCCCAAAGGGATGGCATTCACACCGCTGCAGGGCCTTTGGGAGCCCGGTCTGGCACGAGGCCTTCGTCCCTTTGGTGGAAAACTGCATGGACAACACATGGAAAAGCACTGGCATGGACCTGCCTGCCAGGCTGAACGTATGACCGGGAACTCCATTGGTATGGAATGACTTGTGGTCCATGGATTCGATGACAAAGAATGACAAAGGCCCCGAGTGGCGCCAATGGTCCTTGCATATTTTATCATATTTTGTGCATGCAGGCTTTGTAGAGGACCTTTTGCCAGGACATGCCAGTACCGTTCTGGAGAGGTAGAAACACCAAACATAAAACCACGGCGAGTACGGTTGTATTTACATTCTATACGGTCAAACATTTCCGTGCATGCGTGCATGTTTGCGTGCAATCAAAAAGGAGCAGCAATGAGTGCAGCAATTTAGCTCAAACAGGTTGAGTGACGTTGGTGTCACGAATCCCTGTGGTTGGCTGAAATGCTTCCGAATCAGCGCACTCCGCAAGGAGACCTTTGATCTCGGAGAACTTCCCCGGGTGCTTCGTCACCTACCCGAAGCATTTCTCACAGTATCATCATGGATAATCTACGCCTCTACGCCTGCACCAACTCAGGCCCTAACCGTTCAAACGACCTTCCCACAGTGTTCATGTCCTTCCTTTCGCCCGTCCCTCAAACCTAAAGAGGTGGAACAGCCCATAGAGCCTATCGCATCTGTATACCCTACAATAGGGTCCCAGTGCATCTCTTGGATGGCCACACCCTGCCCTGATGAAACTGCCTTGGCCACCCCAACGGGGCTTGGCGTGGTGCGGACGTCGGCGCGGACGTCGATGCGGACGTCGGCACAGACGTCGGCGCGGACGTCGGCGCGGATGGCGGCTCAGCAGGGGTCTGCGGGCGCCCGAAGTGAACGAAGAAGGCCGCGCTGCACGGATGACGCACCAATCATTTTCCTTGCACCATGATCATGATTTAAAAACCAAACATCGAGGGCAAGGAGCTGGCCCTCTGTTCACTTTTCATCCTACTTACGTGACTTCTCGGAACCTGTGTTTGCACGGAAATCGGGGAAAAAACACCATGGAAACATCAAATGAAAATTATGATTCCTTCATCGTCCTCCCTTCAGTTCCCTTCTTGGTCGCCTCATGGTCCCCTCCTCTCTTTCAGTGTCTCTTCCACACGGCCTGGCCTGAGGCAGCACGCCGACCAGCATTGGGTCCACTCGATGCCACTGCCAGCCACGCACACCCTGCTCGCCCACTTCTCGTGGGCCCGAGAGTGCCTGCACATGCACCTGAGGAGCGGAACGAGGGAGCAGAGCTGAGTGAGGAAAACGGCGGAAGAGGGAGGATCCACGGTGGCGAAGCAGCTGAGGGAGGATCCACCCCTTCAGTTGGACCCGATGTGGTCCTCTGCAGGGAGCCATCCGGTTGGGCTCCATGTCTCTTCCCAAAAGCTGAAGGAAGAAGCCACACCAGGGCACCATGTAGACTGTAGACTCATGCGCCAGCACCCGACTGTACAGGTCTCCTTGTGACAGGTCGGGTTGGGAAGGGCCGTCTCAACTGGTGACCCATGGCAGTGAGGGTGTTGGTTAACTGTTTCGATCAATATTGATCAAATCTCTGAGGTCTGGAGATGTACCAGGTCTGGAGATGTACCAGGTCTGGAGATGTACCATGTTCATTGATTCCATGACATTGTTCAGAAAGCTGTCATTTAACTCCTAATATGTCCCAGGTGAGTGAGTGATTGATCCGGTCCAAAGATGAGAGAAGTCGTAGCAAGAAAACGTGTTCCCCGTTACTTGGTCTCATCACCCGGTCTGACCGCGGTAACGCCCGCGCACTCGTGAATTCGTGTTCTTCTTGACCCTGGGAGGGGTTTAATGTTGTTTAATGTTGACCTGATAATAATAAATGGCCCTCAAATAATACGTACCATATTTTTTGGACCGTGATTTTCAGCTGCTTCCAGACCTTGATTCATCCAAGCTGATTCTGAGCTTTCAGCTGATTCCAAAATTTAATTATAACTATGTGGTGTCCTTTACTCTGGAATTCTGATTTGGCTGCTGCATTTTCCTTTTAAAGTTGCTTATTTGGGCATTGCCATTTGTAACTTGAAATCAACCCACAAAGACCACCCCCCACGAGCAGCCCAAACCTTCAATTACTCCAGACCTCAAATACTAAACAATTCCCTGGCTGGTTCTTTTGGCGGTTTCCTTTACAATTCCATTAGGTTTCCTTTTGGTTGAACAGCTTAAGCTTTATTGCAGGCCATCCTTTCTGGATGTCTGATTTGGCTGCTGCATTTTCCTTTCAAATTGCTTATTTGGGCATTGCAGCAGCTCAAACCTTCACTTACTCCAAACCTCAAATAATACTAAACAATCCCTGGCTGGTTCTTTTTGTGGTTTCCTTTACAATTCCTTTAGGTTTCCTTTTGGTTGAAAAGCTTTAGCTTTATTGGTTATTTAGGTTCAGCCCCTTTACAATTCCTTCAGCACTACTTACATTGACTGCTTTCATTTCCTTTCCTTTCCTTTCATTGTCCTTTCAATTTCCTTTCCTTTCATTTCCAATTCAAATCAATATTTTCATAGATTTTCTAGGATGTTTCTGGATTTCACATTATTTGGGGCCCGCACTTGATCAAGGGGGGTTTTATTATTCGGAGGAGGACATTACTTGATCTATCTCCCAACAGCAGCCACCAGTTAGTGTCCCTTTGAGGGGTGACCGAAAACATCCAGGCCCAGGGGCCTTGAAGAGACATCCCTCCCAGATCTCCCAGGAAGATTCATGAAAGTGGAGCATTGTTGCTGGGATCACCATTTCCCTCTACAAACACGTGATGGTGAACTCCACTTCTGTGGATGCTGTCAGGAGTGTATCTTGACGGATCGTGGTTCGGGGAAGAGGGCACCCATGAGAGCTTGTAGATCCAACGAACCTTTCACCACCCCGATGGCGCCCAACCCCGCGCCCCGCCGAACTGCCCAAAAACGGCCTCCTTCGGGGTGAGCCACCTGACATGTGACCTCAAGAACATGTGAGCAAAACACATGGCTCAAATGACTCAGATTGGAGGGTCAAGCCTCATTCAATCGTCCACTCGCATCACCAAATCCATCCAAATCAGTCGACCCGTGTAGGCAACTGGCGTCAGCTCGGCAGCGGAAGGTGAAATGTGGATCAAGCAACATCAAAAACACGTGTCCCCAATGGATGAAGACAATACCACATGTTTACCACCAAGGTTTCTGGAGTATCACATGGACATCGCCGTCCTTCTGCCACCATGGCAGACCGAACCATGGACGAGGCGCGACCCGGTGGACGTTTCCGTGTGCCACCGCAGTGGTGTCGAGCTGTTTTGATCCTGGGGGAGCGCGTTTAGAGGACTTGATCCAATCAATCTCCAATCAATCAAGCACAAAGGCACAAACCTCTGATTTTTTTTCGAGCGCTCGTCGTTGCGCGGATGGGTGCCGTTTCCGAAAAAACACCACTTGGCCAAGTGACAGTTCAGAGCTGGTGCTCAAGGTAGAGGAATCGATCTGGACCCGATGCGTGGGACCCGACGAAAAACAGCGCTGAAGCCGGCGGTCGGCTATGGCCTCAATGACCCACACGTGTATATATATATATAATATATATATATATTGTAGACTATGGGCTTAGGCACTAGAAATCAATTCTCATGCCGGGATGGGAGGGGTCTCAGGGTGCCCAAATCCACTCAACGCACGAGTTTCGGGTGCATTCATTCAGCATGCAGCCCCGCGAGGCCGCGAAGACGGGGGGGACCCGCATGCACTCTGACGGCTCCGGCTTCGGTACAGCTTCGTTGATCAGGGGTGCCCCCCCCAAACTTCGTTGGGATTCATCAGAACTCCGTCCACTCTGAAAACACCCGGTGGGAGCCGAAGAACACCGGTGGGAGCCGAAGCATGTGCGTGCAGCAAAACGGTTAGAGAGTTCAACATGGTGGGGATCATCGGGTCCTCATAAGGGTCCTGTTTGTGTGATCTGACGTCGTCGACCAGTTTGGGGCCGCCTGTTTTGGGGGTCCGAGAGAATCCCCACAAGGATTTCCTGTTCCGTGAAAAGACTTGCACCTTCTGGCCCTGTAGGATTGCGCGCTCCGTACAGCGATCGTCGGGTTCTGGCCCCACATCTATACCCTCACCGAAGTGAGAGAGCCTCTTCGAAGCTGCTGGCTGTAGGTTGCCGCATGTCATGGGGCAGTGGGTCAGGGCCAGGAGGCTTCAAGACCAAGAGTAATTCCTTACCTTACATAACATATAACGCTATATAATGTTAGTTATATACTTGAGATCCGAACCTCACTTGCTTTATTAAACTTTGCTACACATTCTGCACCACGAACATCTTCACCAAATCAGGAAAAACACCACCGGAGAAATGCAGTGCCCCCGGACCCAACGCCTTCACCTTCCTCATCCCCGGACCGCCTGCAGAACGAATCGGCCCTGAACGCCCCACCTTGGTTCGCGGCGTGTTTCGCTCCGTCGATTCCAGGTGTTCCAGGGAGGTCTTCCCCGTCGTGTTCGGTCCTGGTTCAACCAGTGGATATCAGCATCGTCCGCCATACTGTCTTTTTCGGATGTTTGCGATACAAGGCTAAAGAAAAGACTACAACCTGGAAGACTACCATGGACCCTGAAAACCACTGGTTGGTAGAGGAAAACAATCTTCCAGGGGGCCATTGTCAGGGTCTATGTTAGTTTTCGGGAGTGTAACACTTGGGAGATGGGAGAGAAAAAGAAGTGCATGTAGCAATGGTGCTCGGGCAGCTGAGCCCTGCTCAGCGGACTATGATGCATCAAGGACGCTTTCAAAAGCCACCTCCAGACCCGCTCCGCTCCCTAACCCAGTGAGTGAGTCAGTGGAAAACAACCTGATCCAGCACAAAGCATACAGTCACGACTTCACTGCAAACATACAGATCACTGCTTGTGGATCTCCTGGCATGAAACAGAACCCAATTAGCACAAGCCAGAAAGCCTGATCAACGTGATGAACAGATGAAAAAACACGTGTGCAACCCCTACCTCAAACATTACAGGAGTCTCCTCCTTAAATGGATCCAACATTCCCATTAAATCCTTGATGCTCTGCCTCATGCCAAGCCGGGACCCTGCCAAATGAGACAGGACGGAAAACAACAAAAGGTGGGTTCTGCTGAGTGGGCAGAAAATGGCAGAAAAACACCTGTACCACCTCCAAAAGCAACTTGTGCACAGACCCCGCACCTGTTGTGGGGTACGTGAGGTTTAGGATGGATTATGCATGTTTATGCATATATGAAGAGTAAGAATGTGAAAGCCGTGTGATGCCGTGTGCCAAAGAAGAACCCACCCTCCAAAACCATCCAGTCCCATCGGTCCGTGCCCGGATCGACCGCCCAGTCGCTGCAAAGCCGTCCCGCTGGCGTTGGGCTTCAGCACGTGGGGAAACCTGCGAAGTGCATGCGGAACGGTGCGAACCAAGGGTGTTTCTGCTGGTTGACCAAGGATGCACTTGGAGGGGCTTCTTTTTGAGCTAGGCAAGCCGCAACAAAGGCGAGTCTGGAACCAGTGGAGCCTGCATATATGAACCTGGCTGCAGATCACTTTGACGAAAGGATTATGATTATTGAACGAATCGCACCTGAGGACCCCGTCTTCACTGGCCTCACACGGAGGTCACACTAAAAGTGAGCTTGTTTTGGTTGGTTTGGTCATCGGTGGCATGCAGCACAGAAAAAAAACGTGCTGAAAGACCAAGTTTCTGACAGTGGATCAAGCACCCAAGTGGATCAAGCACCCAAAGCCACTGTCGGGGTGATTCATGGACACAAACAAATCAATGGGGACGAACATTGAAGTTTGAAACACTTTATTCATGGACACTGTTGGCTTTTCTTTTTCGTTTTTTTCTTCTCTAAATAAATGTCTGAGGGGCTATCAATATAGATACCCTGACACCCCTTCAAGATGTAGCGTGATGATTAAGCACAGTTTAACGACGTTCAATCAAAACCTAAATGGTTACATGATGGTTATAGATTATAGCTATACCGTATGAATGTCCATGGGTTCTTGTGGAGGTCTTGTGCAATCCATTTTCCAATATTTTCCATCTACCACCCCCAAAAAGACAAAAACAATGAAAAACATGCATGCAGTCAGTCTTTTAAAATATCTATCACCCAGAAAAGGGAGATCCAACCCTGATCATCTCTGAATCCCTGCGCTTGGATTCATCCTTCTAAACTTGGGAACCCGGGCTCCATCGATTCTCCCGTGTTCTGCCTCGGCGAGAAAAATGGGAAACCGGTTCGGTGGCAGCAAGAAAGCTCAGAAACGACCCATGGGACTACTGCGCCCAAACCAGTGATGTCCTTGGAGGGGTCGGTACCATTTCCCTGTTGGTTGTACACTTGGGGGTATCCCCTCTATTGATCAACCAACCACTATTGAAAGGCCATCTATGCCCCGAACCACCCCAGGTACATATGCCGGAGTGTCTGAGAAATTTGGGTCTGTTGGGAGCTCGCCTGGGGTCCAAACAAATCCGGCGGGTGGGGGGAACCTTCCTTGGACCGGTTCATGTCTGTTCCCCTGTTGAATGGTCTTCATTGGTCCAGGTCTGGACCCAAACATAAAGGAAACTTGATGAAACTTGGTGAAAGGTCTTTCCCATGATGTTTCAACCACTCTTTCGCACTGAAGCATGTCCCTTGTCCAAAGCAACTTCAGAACAACCAGCAAAGGAACATGACAAGCACAAACTTATTTCCCCCCTATTGTCCTATGCATCCACCTACCCTCTGAGAGGGTGCTTGGAGACTCCTTTATTGAAGGCGATCGGATCCAGGAAGACGAGGCGATCGGTGGCAGTGGATCCAAAGGAGCGGAAACAACACGAGCCAGTTCAAGCCAGTAACAAAGGGCATCTCTATGAACTGAGCGGAGCTCGAACGCTACGTTCGGGGCGCTCCTGCCATTAAGCGCCAGAAGCTACGAACGTAGCGATGCGGCTACAGTTCCTTGGCGGCCTCTCGCACCCCTCGATTTCGGAAGGAGGTAGCCCTCTCGCAGCCGGAAGAGGCCTGGGATCGGCCTTGATGAAGCAACGAAAGGAGATGAAAGGGCAGACTGTTGACTCAATTTGACTAATGCACCTGCACACTTCTGCGACTTGTTTAAACTTCATGACAGCCACACTCAGTCCGAAACGAAATGCCCAAACAGCCTATCCGATCCTTCTGGTCCATCTCGTCTTACAAAGCCACACTAGTCAGTGGTGAGGAAACTCCCTTAGCCTCGCGCTCCGAATGAATCGCTCCCGATTTCGCGAATTCGCTCCGTGGACGCCGTGGACACCTCACACCAACCTCCCAACCTCGCTCCGATTTCCGCCGCACACCTGATTCGCGTCACCGTGGAGTCTTGGACCTGGTGGACGCGACGAAACGCCGCGAACCGCCGCCAAAGATCTAGGCGTTTTTCGGCCCGGTAAGGACAGTGGTTTTTCGGCATTTTCTCTTCTAAGGAGTTGCATTGGTTTATGTGGGGATGGAAAAAATCATCTGGGGAAAAATGAGGTCCCAAACTTTCTGTGGGTCCCTGCTGCTTGGTGGATGAAGTAAGAATTGCATCGAAACTGCTGGCTCATAATATTGCTCAGAGGACCAAACATTGGCCTTTGACCTAGACCTTTAAGATGTGAATTGAATCTTGCTAATTACTGAAAAGTAACACAAAGATGTCGTCTGTGCATTCCTTGGTGACCATGAATGAAGGATCAAACAACCGAGTTTAACAACATGGAGAACCTGGTCTTCAATCTCAAACTAATTGCGCTGTTCCATCTCAAAGTTGATGTAGGAGGGGTTCATGCAATCTCATTGCACAACAACAGTCCCCCAGAATTTTCCTTCAAACACCTGCGCTTGAGCCACTACTTGCGGTCATCTGCCCCATCCCTGGTTTGCAACACCCACCCGTGAACAACCAAAACAAAACAGTCCGCCAAGCCGCCAAGTAGAACTCATGTAGTTCCTTCACCTGAGCAGTTTCACACCGATCCCTATCGGAACACCCCTTGTTCCGAAGGAGCCTTCAGGCCAGGGCTGAGGGACAAAGGGACGACAGAAGAGCCAGTGGCTTCAGGATTTCTTATGTTTTTTTTTTCTCCTCCGAGTGTTTACCCAAATCTCTATTTTGGATGCACCAACTCTGTGGTGCGTTAATGTGGGGAAGACTGGGAGCCCGCAACCAAACGTCAGACCAAAGCGGCACAAACCACCAAGAGCCGAAAGCCGCAGAAACCACTGAAGTCCAAAACCAGCGAAACCGCAAAAATGACCCACAGGTTTACGCTGCAAAGCCAGTGCAGCGCGGAGTGCAGCGCGGCGACACACACACACACAGCACAAGGAAAGGTTATGGACTTCTTGTGCCGATGACGCGCCGAAAAAGGGAGACCAGCGGCCCCAAACCACATTCGGACCAGGGGACCAAAGAAAGAAAGCACCAAATGCCAAGGAAAAGAAAACCAAGAAACCCTGAAACCAAAAACTAATGAACCAAGAAAACCAAAAATCACAAACGCAACAAGGAGAACAAGCAACATAAAAAAAGAAGCAACAAAAACACATGGCCAGGTGCAAGCAGCAATAGCTTCAAACATTCAAAGCAAATGGCAGAGTTGGAAAAACCGCCTAAAATTGCGCCCCTGGCCCATGCTCCTGCGGAGCCCCCCCAGAAAAACAACTCTCCCTAGTGACTTTTCGCTTTTATCTCAGCGGCATTTTGCCAACAGCCTTGAAGGCCCTCAAGCAACTCCTCACGACAGCAAGGCGCAAGACTCACATCTTCAAGAGCGCTCGAAACTTACACTCTGACTCACTAACATGGAAGTGCCAAGGCCCGGTTTGTAAACGAAAGTCGTCTTCCAAAGGACCATTTCCACTTCCACGTTCATCAGCGAGTCAGAACAATCTTTTAGTACAAAGAAACACCTTCAAGGGTGGTCATGAAGAAACTCATGCTGTTTGGGCCGTGTTGGCCAACTGTCTGATGACCAGCGGTTTTGCAACCCCCTCCAGTTCACCCACATTCAAGGCGGACATCTTCACCCGTCCTGTGCGGGCGATCGCTCATCCATGCCTGGCCCAACAGTTCGGTGGACAGAGGCCAATTCGGTTCGCAAGTCCGCCTGAAAATACATGCAAAAACACATTCTGGAGGATGTACAGGACCATTCTGGAGACAGGGGGTTGATCAATCGCGTCTACACTCCTTCAAATCATCTACACAGGTGGAGTTGCACCACCTTTTTGGCATGAGGAACATAGTCCTCCATCCGTTCTTGGGCCATGCCATCCACGTAACCATGAACAACACGGTTTATGTTATCTTTGTGTTAAGCTACTGCTAAGCTGCAAACACAGGACTATAAACACAAACAAGTATTCTTGGGATTGCATCTGCTTTTTGTGCCCAGAACCACTGGAAATCACCACCAATCAGCACCAATCCTCCCGCTGTGAGCGACAGGCCGGCTTAGAAGCCACACGCCACACGTGTCCCCTCCCCCACCAGGGAGCATCCACCGAGGCATTACCCTTTCCATCGGTTGGCGACGTCTGATGGAGAAAGGAACAGGCCATCCCTCTTTTCAAGCGAAGAAGGTCTGATATGGTTGTGAACCCTGATGGTTGTTGGAAGTGCAAGCCAAGAAATATCGAGTCGAATCCCTATTTTCATCAAGGGTCTGGCAAAAGGAAAGGGAACACCCTTCGATCTGGAGGTGTTCGGAATTTTTGATATGACGAGCCTAATGATGGATTTTGTATGAATTATCCTAGGTTCCTAAATGGCTTCTATTTTGGATACCCCATTTGGCGGAACCCCCATTGTGGGGACCCCCCATTACTACCAAAAACAATGCCGCGGTTTTCCTTATTTGGGGGGCCTCAACAGGTTTCTCCAAAACCGGTCCAGTCACATCACCCTCGTTTCTTTCGGCGATCCAGGGTCAGAGCGCCTGGAGGGCCAGGCACGCAGCTAGAAACATTCAAGCTTGTACCATGGCTGGCGGCCCAGTTTCACAGTGGGGCAAAACAATGCTTTGGATGGACTCTACTAGTCAAGTTCGGGTAAGCCGAGCCCCAAATTCGATTTTCTTCATTGCGCAAAGATGTTGTGAGAGTCTGGCTGTCATCCAGCAGCGGTACTCGGCTGGGATCTGCGTCTGCCCAGCGCCGTGAGACTAACATTCCACTCAAAACAAATATGATCAAACATGGCTCAAAGGACGTTTTAGCTGCTAGCTGTTTGCAATGAGGTGCTCTCAGGTACCAAAGCTGGCCAAACATCCTGCCGAATGATATCTCCAATCCCAGCTTCAGCATGCTTCTTCCATGTCAAACCCATTGCCTGCTACACAAATGACCTTGTAGCGCAACCACTGCACTGCACATCACTGCACCGCGCGTTTCTCGCCGTGTTTCCGCCGTGTTCTCCGTCCGGTCCGAAGCACTCAGCCAAGACGCGGCGCGGCGGACGTACATCGGAAGGAACAGGTCCATTCACCGAACAGTTCGGTCAGACCATCACATCGACGAAGAGGAAAACAGCTCTCCAGCTCTCGGATGTTCTTCAATCCATGGGCATGGGGAGGTTCGATTCAGTCTCTGAGCACTGAGTCTACAGCAATGTTTCGATGTTGGGGCAACGGATGTGATGTGATGGGTCTAGGGCAGTCGACTGAGCCCATCACGAATGTCGTGACCTGCACGAACTCTTCCAAGCAACATGAGCGTGTTTGGAGACCGCCAATGCGTTCAGCTGGATTTGGTATCTCCAGCTAGACCCGAGTCAAACCTCACAACTCATGAACGTCATGTCCTGTCCGCCAGTCCATCCCAGATCCCTGAGATGGTGACCCCACTGGCAGATCTGAACCCCACTGGGCACCCGGGACGACAGATCCACCGGTGACCCAGCGGCGCGACCCGCCAGTGGCGCGACCCGCCAGTGGCGCGACCCGCCAGTGGCGCGACCCGGCTCGCTTTTGTCGCAGTTCTTCGCAAACGAATATCCCATGCTTTTGGTGCAGCGGTACGTGGCCATCAGCGGTACTTGGCGTGTGCAAGCAGCACGGCTGCAGGTAGGTTGGATAACACTTTGTGCTAGCTGCTAGCTATCAATGCCAGACCGTATCGGTTCACATTGATCTGCAGAACATTGCAGAACCTACATTAGCATGTCAATGCATGTCTCAAGGCAAAGAGTGAGCAAAGCTGCGCCACCACCCCACAACACCAGCGCTGGCCACATGTTCACCTGATGTCCAAACAACGGGCGAAGCGACGGCGAGCGCTCTTTTTCGCAACCGAGCACCCGAGACCGTTCCAAACTGCCACGGCATCATCACAATCGATGAGGGTAATCGGTTCCCTAACCTTCCAAGACCACTGTGAAAGAATTGACCGGGTTTTGTAGTGCACAATTCTTAGTACAATGGTTGCTCAGTAAGAGCCATTCAATTCATCTTCCAATTTCCCTTCACCCGAAGTGAACATAGGTTCTCCGAAGGCTCCCTTGAGCTACGAGAATACCATGTTCTCGCAGCCCCCGGAAGAAAAGAATTGACCCCGAGAAGCTCTTTTGAAGGATTAAACCGCACGGTTTTTGAGTGGAGGGTTGCAGGCTCCTGGAGACCAGCAACATTAACCACCGGTGGGTTGAGCTGGGTGTCAATTCGATGCGCAGTCAACTCCGACCAAACGGAGTTTGGGGCATTCTGGACCACGAAACCATATGAAATCTTTCATTTAAAAGCAACACACACACACAAGATTCCCTCCAAATACCAGGACCCACAAGTTTAAGGGTGAATTTAATGGATGGCCTGTATTATGACCATCTTACACACACACATATATATATAATATATGAACATGCATATAACATATTTTACGGTAACTATTATACCCATCTTGCACCATCTCTTGAGCCGCGCTGGTGCCTCAGGAACGCCCAAAACACACGTCGGCAGAAGGACGGAAAGGTCCAGGGTATCGGCTCTGATTTCGGGGGACGACTGGATGAAAGCACTGTCAGATGTCTTCGCTCAGTTCCACCAAATGACTGAGTCTCCAGGCCACTCTCCTTAGCCTTGAACAACTGATTTCGAAAACAAGGAACTTTGTGAAAGTCAACAAGAATTATATAGAAGCTTCAATTCTATCCGCATCGGTGACATCCGACATGATGAAATGGGACAGTGCTTCCACCAGCCACCTGCCCCCCAGTAGTATGGATTCAAAACTGGTGAAATGGGCCTCCGCCCCACTGAGATGGTTCTGACTTGCTCTATGTTCTCCCTCCATATGCTTTTACAGATCGACTGTGGAGCTGAATGGGATGGACTCCAGGCTCTAAGATCTTCATTGGACGATCGTCCCAGCAGCAGCGGAGTTTGCGGCGACCCATCGTTGGATCCAGTTGCGAGCAGTCCGCGGCGGGGCGAGTCGCGCCCGCCTGACGAAAGCCGGCGCGAATGGCAGCAACTGGAGATGGTCACCTAAATCCCTGGGCCTGGCGGCTTTAAGATCAAGCAAACATGGCAGGCACATTTAAACAACCAGTCGGCTTGATCATTGCCCGGCTCTGATCTTGAAACTTCGGGTGCAGTTGGGACGCCTGTGGAATGCACTTTCTTCAACTGTCTTCCCTTTTAATAATGTTCAAAACGGAGTCACCTGCACCCAAGTCTAAGATCACAAAACTTACAGTACAAACCAAGGTATTAAAGCAAAAGGAAGTGGCTGCGAAGAGTGCTGGGAGAGCTGCATGCTTGGCATCTGGACCAAACATGATACCGTTCATTGGACCATCAGTAGTCTGGTAATCACTACACTGTCATACACTGTCACTGGCCATTGCCTGCTCTGGCAAAAGGGAAAAATTGGGACCTCAGAAAGCCCTTCAGCAGAAAGCTTGTGGGAGGCCAGTGACTCATCCAGAAAAACCTCCAAAAGTAGAAACCGGTTAAAAAATGGGAAAGGAGATTCATGCCCATTGCTTGGGAACATCTCTGAGATCCAGGAGTCCTGAAGGCCATGAAATGGCCATCAAGTCTAGTCATGGCCGCATCGGATTTTGGAAAGCCGACCGACTCTCTTTTCAATGTTGATCGCCTGTCCGCCTGTCTGATGTTCATCACCAAATCTTTCGAAAGCACTCACCCTCCACAGCTGGAGACGAGAAGCTCTTTCAGATCACCTCCACTCGCAAGCGAAAAAAAAGAAAAAGTGGCCCAACGAACCGGTTTCGCGGTTTCTGCATCGGAGGTGTCACTGGTGCACGAAGGTCGGTGCCTCACAAACGCAGTCGCCGTGGCCGTCGCCACGTCCTCACACGAAGCTCTCAGAGTAAGACAGTTTACCAAGAGAGATATCCAGTGACCTGAGAAAATAGACCATTAACCTGGGGTACCGAGGTGGAATGCTTATGAATGGTTTCTTATTGGTTTCTTCCAACCTCTGTTGGTCTGCATGGGGGTCAGGCGATGGCCGGCGCATGGCAAACACATTGACCGTTCCGCCAACGGCCACATCGATTCCCCGCTCTGGAACGGACGGGACGTCCACTCGGTGCGCCGACGTATCCCAAACACGAACCCTGAAGAACACATGCAAAATTGATGCAGAAAACCACACTTTCTTGAGATCCATCTTGCCCCATGATGTTGGGCAACGTTGCCGCAACGAGAGAACACACCAGGTCGGAGAAGGAAAATGCCCACAGCCGTGAAAGAAGCCACACCGTCTGTACCCCAAACGTGTTCAAAACCCAGCCTGGGGTTAGTGCCTGTTTGTGCTGCTAAAATCACTCAATCCCATCAAATAGGCTTTCCAAGGGCCGCTGACAAGCACCCGGAATCCAGGCCCCCGAACATGATTCTGAGCACCAGGCCTCTGCAAAAACGTGGAGAGAACTGTGAAGAAATTATCAGTGCCCACAGACTGGACCTTTGGGGCATTTCACCCTGTTGATTCAAGAGCAATTCCTCCAGCGCTCGCTACGCGCCAGTTCATCCACTCGACAAATCAACATCGAATTTAATCTGATGTGAGTTACAGTTGCAGCTTGAGCACCCGGATAGCAGGTCTTTGTGACAAAGGCTGATGATAGCTGATATGTTTTGTGTCCCTTAATTCCTTTCTTTTGCAAACTGCCTACAAATCGAGGCACATTTGGTGGGTTGATGGCTCCTGAGCTCAACGCAAGTTGTTTAGTGATAGTGCAATAGCTTTGCAATACCGGAAGGCAAATCCCGCCATTACTTGCGCCGCCCCACTTACTAAATCGTCCGGTCATTAAACAATTAGGAAGGATAAGAGTGGGCAATTCTCAGAAGAATGGGATTGATCCTCACGAAACTGACGTAAGCTGCATCATTCTGTCCAAGTACACTGAAAAACATCTCCCAAAGCCATGAAATATCATGAAATGATGTATCGACCCTCAATCGTCTTGTCCTTCCAAATCAGCTACACATAGCCACACACACACACACACCACTGCGAGGACCCAGGGGCCCCCATGATCCCAAACGACGGGTGTCTCTCCAATATTGCTCACACCTGACGGATGTCTCCGGCAAATTTCTCTCCCTCGCCTCCGGGGGTTGGAGGATTCGCTGACCATGTCGAAGGCTTGGACTGCGCCCTCCTGGCGAAGCATACGAAGTGGCCGCACCCGCCCTGGTCATCGAAGGCATGGCCCAAGCCTCAAGGGAATCCTGGTTTTGGGCCCCCAAGATGGTCAATGTCTTGAGGTGAAAAAGGCAGAAACATGGGCGACCCTCACGTGGACTCCATTTGTGCCGCAATCTGGGGGCAGGTCCAGGGGCCCCTGACCAGGAGAATGGCCTGTGAACGTTCATCCAATGCATTGACCTCTGGCAAATCCGAAGTGACTAGTGACTAGTGGCATCACAACCTTATGTCAAGGACCTCATTTGACTGGGTCCGGTCATGCAAAACCAGTACGAGGTCAAGGACCAGGTTTAACTTGCCCCGACTGGAATTGTAGGGCGATACATCACGGGCGATATACCACCCGGCCCATGCGCCGAACATTCCAAAGATCCATCTGAAAAATCAAATATTTTACACACGACGCACGCCTCAGGTGCATTAAAGCCTTTGGTGTCGAACGCGTGCAAAAAGGGCGCACCTTTTTGATGATTCTGGCGCTCCACAGTTGGTCTGAACTTCGGCTTGGCCGGTCGTGACCGTTCTGCTTGAGAACGTCAAGCAGTGAAGGAGGCTTGAGAACCCTGAAAAGGTGGTGGTCGCACCTTCGCGGCTTGAGCCGAACGCATGAGCTGAACGCATCCTGCTGAGGAATGCAAGTTCCACCAGGGGCAAGAAACGCGAGTTCATGTGCATCATTCCGCACATCACAGGTACATACAAGTACGACCCGCAAATAAGTCCCTCTCTCTCTCTCTACCCCCTCTCCCTGACCCTTTCCCAAAACGCAATCCTGTTCAACAAACCTATTCAAGAAACGAGACCATCACACCCAGTACTGAGCACGCCCATGGTCGCTCACCCCTCCCAGTTCCATGTCGGAGTGCCGAGTGGAGGATCATTAGGGCTGCCCAAAACATCCACTTATTTAATCATTAGGGGTACCCCAAACTTGGGACAATAAATCAGAATAATAATGATAACATATACATATACAGTCATGGGTACCCCTAAGCTCCGAAGACTATCCCTTTGGAACTCCTAATCACATGTTCAGAAGCTCGAACCGCCCGAGATGTGGACCACAACTCTTCGTCGCAAGACGTGCTCCGTTTGGAGCTTTTCCATCGAAGGGCCGAGAGAGTTAGGGGCGCTCGGGACGCTCGAAAACCCAAGAGTTCCAGTGGAGGATCATAGTGAATATCTGGAGTGCTGGGATGTGAGGTTTTGCTAAGCCCATGTATGGGCCCGGCAAATGAGAAACACACACGGCCGACCGACTTGTGGCTTGTTAGTTTATTATACATGTACTACTGTGGACAACAAAAGGCGCCCTAGCTTTGCAAAAAGGAGGCCATCTTTAAACATATGAGTAACGAGCAACATTATTATCCAGTTGTAAAAAATGCTACCACTCGATATGTTTGGAAGGGTCATTTTGGGGTACTGCCTTTCAATCTCCTTCAAGCTCTATCGAACGGAGTGCGAAAGAGTCCAGGCAAAAAGCCACTTCCACAGTGATTCAACGGTCCAAACAAATGCAAAAAAAACACGATAAAAAAAGGACTGAACAAAATTGCCAATAGGTGCTGACAATGATGAATGAATAGAATGCATTTAGATGCCACTGCCCAAAATAACAAGAACCACATCGCCGTTCAATCCCAAAGATCATTATAATGGATTATAAGCTCCAAAAGGTCCAACCTGGAGTTCAAGCTCTCAAAACCCAGTGGGTGTCTCATCGCTGCACGAATCAGGAAAGCCCATGGGCGTCCATCGGCGTCCCCCCCTGCGGACGGCCATGTGCGCCCAGTAGAGGTCACTTGCGCATCAAATGTGCTTGCTGCACCACCTGCTCGTTGTAGGCAGAGTTGCCATTCTTCCTCAGAGTTGGGTGCTTCTATGTGCTTCTCTGCCCACCAGGTCTTTCACTCTGAGTTTCTCCACCAGTTTTATTTCAATGCCAATGCCACAAATAATAACTAATATTAAGTTATCTTATTATAGCAAATATCTTGCAGTATGCATGTCATACCTTGACATGATGCACACAGTACACTGCACAACTGGCACAGGCAAATCACTTGACACACCTACATCATCCTGCGATATAGAAACCCACCTGCAATTTGGAAAATGCGTTGGTGCCGACTGAATCCCTCAAAGGCTTGCCCGTGAAGAGGGGCTAGCCTCCGAAAAGGTAAGATAGACATGGAACATGAACAATTGTTAGCAAAAATCCCCTTCCTCAAAGATATAAAATGCTGTTCATTCCCTATCATCATCTAACACATCAAGAACACATATTGTCAATTCAGTGCTCCTTGATGTTTCTTGTGTGGCTTCCCGGAAGTTCTTTGACAGGACTTCTAGACCATATTCGCGGGAACCATCGCCAGATCCATTCCGCCAATCAAATGACTGGCGGGGCGACTTTCCGCTGCACGTGATCCAAGAATCTGGTAGCCATGCCACTGAACCGCAGCCTTTTGGTTTCGACAGGCCGCTATTTCTGGAGAGCCATAGCCTCGGGCCATGGAAGACGCTAAAAAAAAGACACCACCTGGTCAACTGTCCAGTCGAACATGTTTTTTTTTTACATGCTTAGTTTCTTCTTATCATATATATTACATTGTCAAGCCCTCTGGCCGCTGGCCGCCCTCTGTTCTCTCCGAGGCTCGCGTCAAGCTCTGCACCGTGGTCTGGGGCATCATGAGATGCACTGGGCAAACTGGTAGGGCGGAGCCATTTGACAACGTCTTTTTGTAGTCTTCCTCCTGCACCCCACGCTGATCCCGTGATGCCGACGCGTACCGGCGCGTACTTGACTTGGTGTGTGGTGTTTTATCAGATCTTGCGAGATCGGAGCTGGGAGCTCGGCCAGGAGGGTCTGACAAAACAACAATAACATGCCCAGGGCATCCAGTTACCACTATAGCTGGTAACCAGTGGTTCCAAAGACTAACACCCTAGACCGAACGAATCCCTGGTTCCTTATATAGTGGTAACTGGGATGCACTGGGATGTTGTTTTGGTGTGAATCACATCGAGCATTGAAAATCCATGAGAATCCATGAGAATCGAGCTTCGAAGAACTTTGGAGAACCATTGGAGAATGACCAAGCGGAATTGGAGGCACGGTCCATGCTGCTTGGCCGTGCTCCACGCCCTAGCTCCCTCATGCCAGACCCGGGATCCGAGGAGTGAGGGACTCGTCAATAAGGAGAACACCTCGGCCCCCGCTTCTCACGGAGAACACCCGAGCTCATATGTTCCGTGCTTGTGCTAGCTACAATCCCCAAATGCTCCATGGGACTGCCAGATATGCCGATCAGTTGGGGTGGTTTGGGGGGTCAATGGGATCTGGGAACATGCCACATCATCGGATGCATAGCGACATCTTCATGGGTGCATGCGTTCGTTCTTGTGCGGTCGCTCGGTTCCAAGATCGATGCGAGGATCGAAAGTCGCAAAGTCGCCCGCAGGATTGGGTTGGTCAATGCACTAATAACACAAACGGTCTCTGCAACGGGAAGCAATGCCATCGTCACATTAACAACCCCTCCCTCCAACACACAAACGAAGAAACAAGTATATAAGAAAAACACCTCTTTAAATTAAGTTCGAAGCATGGTCCTAGCTGCACCCGCACTGAACTAACTGTTTGGTGGTTTCAATTCACTTGACAAAAGTGGGTTCAATCCTTTTCAAGCGAAGGTGAAACGAAAAACTATCTAATATCTGAAACCACCACCCAGACGAGTCTACACCCGCATGCCTGAGTCTCACCATTCTCACGTCTCAGGGCGGTCCCGACCCTTCCGTGGTTCGTCCGTGCGATGGAGCGGTCCTGTGGTTTGTAGCCCTTCATGGGCAACGGTTGCCTCGGCTTTTGCGGTCAAGCCATCGCACGAACCGGTCACCGGTTTGGATTCGACGTTCGGGGGTGGGGTAGATCGACGAATTCAGTCTACCCAGACACGACCCGTCTGGGACTGCCAGTCCGGACTGCCGATCAGTTGGGATGGTTTGGGGGTCAATGGGGCGGCATATATGGAATATATGGAGCGTCTGGGTTAGGTCACCAAAATCGATGGAAATCTGTCGAAATAGATTGAACATGATTGAACACCTGCCAGACCCAATTTCCCCTGGTGGTACACGAATAGCCAAGTTAAGTCCAGTTCTCTTATTTAGAGACAGGACCCTGGCTGTGAGTTGCGCCGGTAGATGTAAATACTATGCTATACTTCCTCCACTCTTAGCAACTGGACCTTGTGCCATAACCCACAGACCTTGCGAGGGAAAACGGTCCAACGCCTCAAAAACGCCCAGTTTCTAGGTCAAACGATCCATTTCGTTCCTGGAGCCTGGGCCTCCAACGTCCTTCCGCTTCTAGAAAGTCGTTGATACATCTGCCCTCTTCTCTGACACTCCTGTGATCCCCGGTGCATATTTATGGTGTTTACTTCGAGGTTTTTTAGTGGTTCGTCACGGTTCGCCGTCGCGAACCAAGGACGATTGCCGATTGCTTATAGTCGTTTCCCACTCCACCAATCTCCCATCTCCATTGCCGCATCCGTGCGTTTCCACCGATCCTCTCATCCGCCGAAACGCTGCATGAGCTGTGCCACGTGGTCACCCAAAGAGAGCTTGGCCAAAGCCTCAAAGGCTGCACGCCGAGCGGAGCGCCGCGCGGCGCTCAGCAGGCTGGCACGGCTGGAGCGCCCCGTCGAAGCACTGTTGGAACGTTGCAGTGCCTGGAGCCGTGAGTCCGGCTGAGCGAGTCTGAGAGATGAATGAGTCTGATGTTCCTGGATTGTTGCCAAACTTAAGCCGGAGCACCTGTCTCCGGGGATCTCCTTGCAGTCCTGTTTGTGCAGCTTGGCAGTTTTGGGCTCCTTTGATTTGGGAGTTCAAACTAAACAACAATGATCCCAAACCATCCATTACATTTACCCCAGTTATGACCCTAAAGCAAGCAACTAACCATTCATAACTATTCCATACATGATCTGGGGATGCTCTCCTTCCTGCGAACCCGGCACCTGTGCGTGCTGCACCGCATGCTGCAACGCCCGCGGCATTGATGTCGGAGCACTCCGCAGCGACGCGCGCGAGCCCGTGGCACGATCGGTGCTGGGACGGGAGCCGGGTGTTGCGCTACGGGCACGGCGTTCGCAGGCCTCGGGAGTGGTTGTCTTTTGGATGGGCTGTTGAGGCTGTTGCAGGACCTCATGACGTCGGGAATCGGGAATGTGTGATTTTGGGGCTCATGGGTTTGGCAAACACCTTTAATCTCTATGTGCGACATTCATGGGAAGGTCGTCGCGCCATGACCTGCTTTTCGGATTTGGATCCACAACGTGTGGGGCTCTGAGGGCCAATCCCAGCAGTCATGCGGACATGTGCCGAAACCCTGCCTGTGGATAGAAAGGCGGTGGAGGTAGATCATGACTAATCACCTGAGCAACTGCACAGAAAATCAAAAAGCTCGGGGGTACAGTAATTATGGCTTCTCGAAGAACACCAATCTCGAAGAAAATCTAAAAACACTACGTCTACTCGCTTACAAGGGTCATTGAGGGCCTTGGGCACCCGTCACATTTGTCCTATTCTTGGGGCGTTCGCGTGAACGCCCCCCTTGCGGCTCGTCGAAAGCTGTTCGAGAGCTGATGCCCGCCTTCTAATAATCATGAATCCAAAAATGGGTCCAAGAAAGGGGGTTGTCCACTTCCATGTGTGCTGTGGAGGGCTTATCTTCAGGATCCAAAGTTTTGAAAGCATTCGCAGTGGCGATTCAAACTGAGACAACGTCAGTGCCTTTGAAGCAAGCAACTGAACAGGGCCCTTGAATGTGCTGAACTCTGCTGCGTTCTGAGCTCTGGATTTGGAAGCTCTGAAAAGAAGGTCAATAATTACATTCAAATACCACATTTATCAATCTATATCAATTTCAATCTAATCTATGATGCCTTCTTCAACTGCACATCGCACGGGATCTTCTCTCTCTCTCTCTCTCCCTCTCTCTCTCTCTCTGTGAGTTCGACTGGCTGCTTTGGCATGAAGTGGCCACGCTCCTACTCAGTCATCCATGGACATTCTCATCTCAATCCAACTTCTTCCAACTTCGGCCCCCATGCCATGCCCCCTTTCTTCGTTCGCATTCGTCTCATCCGCCAGGAGGCATCGAAGGCCGGAAGCTCCACGCCCATGGACCGCCACGCTGCCATGGCCGCTCGGCGCGCGCAGCGAGCTGAAGGAACGGGGGGGTTGGAACGGCCGTTTCTGGAGGGCATGTGGTGCAGGAGGCAATCCAAGTAGAAATGGATGGCTGGAGGCAACAGATTTGCGTTGAGGGGTTGGATATAGGACGATGCGAGCTAAAGAACTGAGGGTTCTTTATGGTTCTTTGGTTCCTTCGTTCCTGCGTCTGACTCCGGTGCAGTAGAATGCAAAGGCTGACGGCCGACATCGACATTGGCAGATGCTTCCAGGATCGTCCAAGTGGTGGAAGTTCCCTTCTCTCTTGTGGCGGTCTTTGCGCCCAAGATCGCTCAGGTGCTGGAAGAAACCCACATGCGCAACTGTAGTACTCCTGAATCTCCTCAAAATGTAATGATAAAATATGATAAGTGATTGATAAGTTATAATGACCAAGGGTTCCGTCTTGCTACATGAAAAGGCGCCTCAAAGACTCTCACACCATCCAGTTCTAGTCCTGGCTGAGCCAAACCTACGACAGGAAGGAGATGCACAATATTGATCAATATGGCACGATGATGCAATCGCAACTACAATATAACTATATATGTGATTCGCGGGTGGGCACAAGACTCCCAGGTGCTACCGTCAGCAACCAAATAGCCTCTCAGCTACTCAACATGTGCAAAGCAAAAAATATCTTTTCTCAACCCTCGATCTATTTGGACCCCTTTGCTTGGGATTCTTTGGGGATGCACCGCTGGGATTCTTCGTCGCACCCTTATGGACGCCGCAAAAGTGGTGAGATTCTTCGACATTCTCCCAATTCAGCCAACAACAGTCGTCCATCTCATCAAACGAATTGTTCCATCTCAGTTACTCGGTTTCCTCCAGAGTCTTACGAAGAGTCTGTGCTCCCAGCTCAACAGTGTCGCGAGCGCACAAATTCTCTGTTTATGTATCCTCCGAAATGTCACAACGGATTTAGAATGTCATTGTTCACAAACGACTTCTAATATGTATCATGTTTGATACCAACAAAACCAAACATTTCCTGCAGTACATAGTTTAAGCGCCGCTTCAGAGGGCAGCCGTTACATGGGTTTCCAACAAAGCCGCTCCCACCACCTCGCAGGTCACTTCTTCTCGCCTTCAAGGGATAGGCCACGCGCCGCACACCTGGGGCGACGCGCCGCACGACTCGACGGCCCTGAACGGCCCAAGGATTTTCAGGCAAGATCCATGGGTTGGGTATCTCCGATAACCAGTAACAGTGTTTCTTTGATTTGTTACGTGTTTTTTAACGGTTGCAGGCCTTTCTTTAAAATCGTGATGATTGAATATGATCGATGATAGGATCATTGTCTGCGGAGGACATGCTTCAACAAGGCTATCGCTTTCGAGCGAAACGTATCGCAAGTTTTAGCAACAATGTCAACACATAGAAGCTGACATCTCAAAAAATGTGGGGATATGCTTATCGCTTTTTGGGGGGGCCCATCGCTTTTGTTTTAGCAAAAATCCAGCAATTAACGACCGCTCTTCACTAAATTAGTCATCACACTTCGCACGTTTTGGCAGTTGATCATAGGCCTACATTGTTACATTGACCCCCTTTTCAACCACCCCAATGTAGGTAGGTAAATGTGCCATACAGGATCATACAGTGAGTCCTGGGGAAGGATACCTCAAGACTACAACAAATTGCTAAGTGATGCGACATGTCAAGCCTGCGAACCATGGATTCTTGGGGTGACCCAGCAAAAACGCCGTGGAATTCAGACCTAATTCAATTGACCATCAAGGACCCCACAGGAACCCTCTACCGATTTGGTGTCACCAACACCCCACCACACATCCCCGTACCATCCCCCAAACACTCCGTGGGACTGCCATATGTGCCGATCAGTTGGGGTATGTCGCGGGGTCAATGGCATATATTCCCCATAGGGCTCCAACTACCTCCGTTTCGAAGACGGTTGGGGTGGGCGCCAGGGGGTCTAACCACCTTCTGAGGATATGGTGAAGTCGCCCTAGGTTCCCCCAAGGAGTGACCCGCGCGTTCTGATTTCTTGGCTTCCGACAGGATGCGAAGGAGTGGCCCCCTGCGACCGTCAACCTGCAGAGTTGGATGTCAACCAAGGTTGAACGACCCTATAGATCCTATACCAGGACCCGCAAAGGGTGGTGAATGGACACCGGGCTATCAATAGAAGCCCGGTAGGGGGTCCTGGTAGACTATCCCAGTTGGGTACCATCTGTCGACCTCTCACCCCATCCTCCCATCTCCCTCCCCATCCTCCCACCTCCCAACCTCCCACCCCATCTGTCGACCTCTCCGGCTTTGGCGTCTAGTCTCATCTGTCCCTCCTTTGGCTCTATTCTCTAGGAACAAGAAGCTACTAGGAGCAAGGACGCTACGAACGGGGCTCCTGGCCTTACTACTATGGGGGCATTCTTGCTACTGGTCGCGTCCTTGCCCCGTTCGTAGCGAGAGACATCGTCGTCTCGTGAGTCCCACCTCCAGATTTCGGCAAAGCCTTCCATGAGATCATCGAAGAATTCGCCGGCCTGGAGCGCTGGGGTAGCAACCCACCGAAAAGGGGGGGAGGCAGCAACCGGGACTCACCAATATTGGTGAGTCGCTCCGAAACAATATCCGGCCTACTAAGGATTTGACGTAAGGAACTGGGAAACAACATATTCCCCAGAAGATTCGCCGATATGGCAAAGAACCATCACCCTCAGCCCTACGCAATAGCAGCCTAAATCTGTTCTATGTTCCACTGCTCAAGCTTCAACTGCTCATCATACCGTGTGATCATGGCATAAAACGCATCAAACCCTTCACCGCGAATTGGACTTTGAGAGTTTTCGGGCAGTCTTGGACCATTTGTTTGGCTTCTTCTCCATCGTGATGGAGAAGGCTTCTCTGGCTCCAGCGAAGAACGAAGAGAAATCACTCTTCACCGGAAATTGGGAGGAGCGCAGTCGGCGCAGTCAGCGCACGAAGCCGCTGTGTTTCTCTGCTTTGGAGATCCAAATCTGAAGGGTCCAATAAGGGGTGACATGTCGGATGCATTTATGATCATTGTTTGGGATAGTTACATGATACCATGCAGGACCGTGTTTTCCGGCGAACGCTGCGGGCCCCCCCGCCGCCCCCCATGAAGGTGTCCTCTGGAAAACTGACCGGACAGAGGACATCGGTCCAGTGACGTGACGCGACGGGAAGGACGACTGAGTGCGACGTCACAAGTGACATGAGACGTGTGACATGAAGTGTCTGGACAACATGAAGGTGCAATCTGTCAGACATCAGATTGGAATTGGAATAGGCATGAATAGGCATCAACCCAAGTTACTGTGCCCTCCATTGCCCTCCCGATTCGCGCACATTCGCTCGCGCTCGAGCTCGGTTCCAGCATTCCCGGGGCTCCGGGAAGCACGTTGGTTGGGCCCCTACATTCCTAGTAGCATCCTTGCTCCTAGTAAGGCCAGGCGCCCCTAGTAGCGTCCTTGCGCCTAGTAGCGATGCCAGGAGCCTCTAGTAGCTTCTTGTTCCTAGAAACGCGTTGGTTGGGGCCTCGATCTTCTTCTTTTCTCCTTTGATCCGATGGTTTGGCCGTCCGTCGATCACCTCCTCCGCCCCGGAGTCCTCCTGGCGTGGCGTTTGCCAACAGCCCGGCCGGTCACGATGGTCGGAAGCATGGCGGAAACGGAGTCAATGGAGACGGTGGATGGATAAATAAACGTACTGTATATACATCTATCCGCATCTATCATACAAGTAGAACCCATTTGACCTCTGTTTTGATAGAACAGGACCACGTTTTGGCTCCAAAATAGAGGTCAATCAGGCGTTCCAGGTATTACAACCCACGCCCACATATGAATGAACATGTTCTAGCATCCAGGTACGGGGGTTGTTTTGATCAGTCGTCATAGGCACATAGACATTAGATCATTAGATGACACGAAACTCAATCAAAGCTGACATGGGGAACTTCAAATCTCCCCAAACCCAAGTTGGTCAACAGGCTCTCATTTTCGTGCAGGGGCAGGAAATGACCAACTGGCCAAAGTGCACAATTTCCAATGAAGTTGTGATGAAGTCCTAGAGATCCACATACCTTCTCAGGAGGTACTTGGGCCCTCCAAGCCTACATAAATAGTCTCCAATCACCTTGTGAGAAGATGCTTGGATCCCTAGGGAAGTGACCATCTTTTGCACATGTTCACTTTTGGAGACCTTTGGAATATCAATGAATCTCCCCCTTCAGAAATTTCTACGATCAGCTGACATGTCTGGGGAGGAACCCAACTCACCTTCTCATCCCTCACACAAATGCATTCTCTCACGCGTGCATGTGGCCTCTGAATCCTCTTCCAGTGCCCCAGCGGCCGAAGACTTGGGGCCAGAAGAGGCAGACTTGGAGGATTTGGCCTCGGCCTCCCCTGCCGCCAAGTGGAGAGCAGTGGGGGGAAGCACTGTTGGATGGGGTGAATGAGCAAGTCTTTTTCCAGCTGTTCAGGAGTCCAACAATGATCAAACACTTTGTTTTTGTGCTTGATAGTGATTGACAACCTCTGTTAGTTATCGTGTTGCGGGAGACCACTGCCGGCATCCCAACGGCCACAGGATTGGGGTGTTTTCATGTCGTGTGTTCGTTGTTTTTCCCTTGTGACTTGTGGTGCAGGAGATGTTCCGTCAGCATGGCCTCAGGATTTCTCAAATTGTGTAGCCCAGACACAGCCTTGTGGTGCCTCCTGAAGACTCTTTTTTCAACCAGCGACTTCGCCCACAACTACTCCCCCTGCAGATTAACGAGGAACCCCTAAACAACCGGGTTGTAGAGGATGGTCTTCCACCGGTCAATTCTCCGGTTCCATGTTGGCTTGCAAGGGGCACCCACACCTGACGGAAAACCGTCTTGAAAAACAACTGCTTCTGGAACACCGTGGTCCCATCTTCCAAGCAGCCGAGCATAGCCGGGCATTTTCCACCCGTTCCACCGTTGTGATCCGCCCTGCCTGCTTTCAGGCGACTTTTCTCAAGGTGAAACGGGACAGGACGGGACCTCTTGTCCCGACCATGTGCGGGTTCAAAGCATACCCCGAGACCCGATCGTAAGTGATTCCTGATGTTGAAACACCTGGAGACAAATCTGGTGTGTGAGTGAAGTACTTGCCAAATCTTGCCTACCAAGACTGGTGAAGACACCGCGTCCTCATGTTTCGCCAGAGCCCTCAGAGGCATCCGTTTCATGACCTGCGTGTGTCAGGTCGAGTAGTCAGGCCTTACTGGGCCTCCAAGTTTCTAAGCAGAACACGCGTGGATTCACAGGAAGGTTGGTCCGCTCATCTCCTCCAACAAACCATTGGTGTCGACCAATCTGGGGCTCATGCATGGTGTTCATGTGTCGAGGTCGTCAATGTTTGGATGGTTGTGGACATCTGAGTAACAAGGGCATCACTACTAATAGCAAGAAGCTACCAGGTTGGAGGCCATTGCTATTAGGTTGGAGGGCATCGCTACTAGTGGCCGAGTCATCCGTGAAAAAGGCATCCAAAAAGGACATGACCCAATTTCTCAGCAACGTGACCAACCGATGTTCGACCACACATCAGCAGGATTCGGTGGTTCATTGTGGTTCTGAGTTGAAGTATTGATACTGGTCGGTCTTCCGTTACTGTAATTATATATAGTGTTAATTCAGTTTCGCTTTAATTGGCAACCCTATGTTCGATTCATTGTACTTCTGGAACGGTGATGAAAGGTTTTATTTTCGTACCACTTGCTGGCTGCGAGAGTGCGAAGATGTCAGAAAGCCAGCCGCCCTCACAAAACATCTGATCTGATCCAAAAGACCCCCCCCGTTTCTTCGCTCCAACCGGACACGTCTTCGCCCACGTGTGCCTGACGCAGGCGTGGCCGGTTCCAGTTCTGGAGGCGGTGGGGCTGGTGTGTCGGGCGGCTCGGCCATGGCTTCAGCGGCTTGGATCATCATGGGCACCTGCGAAGCAGCTCGGTATCGGCGTCGGCCGTCCCCGCTGATGTTTGAAACGCTTGTGGTCACATGTGAAGCAGTTGCTGTATGGAGTCACTGTCGCTCCCTGACTCTGACTCTGAAGCAAACATACTAAAGTATAGAGCCTCCAAAAAGCGCTGGAATGGACACTGACCTTCTTCCTCAAATTGAGTGGGGTCAATGTATTAGGCAAATATACCATAAATGGAGTGTCTGGGAGTGTTTTCCTTTAAGAATCCTTTTAGAATCTCTTATATAGTCCGTTCTTTCGGACGTGTGCATTCGTCTGCCGCCTGAAGCTCAGTCTTCGAGACCTGCCGCCAAATCTCCGGCCCCAGCCGTTCCTGCCACTCCTGAGGTTCCCGACGTCCCCAGGTCCGACGACGGGGACGACGGTGAACCCTGTGCATGAGCCTCTCTCTGGCCCCTCCAACCCACCTTTCGGCACCTAACACAGGGGAATAGGATGAACACGGGATGATCTCAATGTCAAAGCCAAACAGTTGCGGCACGTTTGAACCGCGCCAACAGGTTTTCACCGGTCGAAAGGACACATGCATGGGTCACCGTAATCACCCCACTTTTGAAGGAAGTTTCGTGCGAAATCGTCTCGCCGAGAAAAAAGGAAACACACCAAACCATGCCATGTAGTGCCAAGAAAGAACACAAAAGAAAAGTCAAGACTCAACAGGTCTCTTCACTTCTTTTTGTGCAGTGCCTGAGCCCTTAAATAGATGCATTATTATACATTGTTGATGCTATTATCTACGATTCTTCTTCTCTTCCTGTAGTTCTGCTCTTCTTCTGCTTTCTGCTGAACTATGCTGAAATGCATTGAAAACTCCTAGTGAGAAGTCACAAAATGCAGTAAACGGCTTGAATGTATGGGAACGTCACCAAAAGCCCTTCTCAGCACTGGGAAAATCATGGAAAACAACCAAACTTGCAGGGTCTAGCAAAGGGTCCACAACTGAACCACGAGATGAATACTTATGGGTGGAGTCTGGAAACCCGAGGTGCGCGCACTTGGTGGGCTCCACCAAAGCACAGAAACAAACGATCCAAACAACTGACGTTTCACTGCTTCTGCAAGCTCTTTAGCTCACTGATCAAGGCTCTTCAGGCAAAATCTTCACAATGAACTTCACCTCTGCGCAGCCGAGGTGACGCGGCGAGTTCACGATGAACGAGACCACGATGAGCTGCGCCGACAGCGATGAAAGGCTTCAAAGAGCTTGAGGTCTCTTCATTTGATGTTGGTCGGTGTTATCCCAGTCACCTCTCTCAAGCGACCCACTCTTCATGACTCCCATGGTGATCGATTGCGCCCAAACCTGTTCTTCCGCCTTTCACAAAACTGGCCCAACAACAAACCCACAGCTCACAGCACATCTTGCTAAACCCAGGCGGCATAGTCCATGAGCTCCCTTCGCAGTTCTTCCGCTTCCAAGTGCCTCTGCGTCCTCATGCGCTCTCCTCAGGCCAATCGATCTTGTCGCGCGCACGATCGCGATGCCCTTGGCGACCGAGCGAAAGAGAAGGCGTTGGGCGGACGTCGGAAGGTGCATGGGCACTGTCGGGAGCCCTTTTTTCAGCACGCGGCGCCAACATGTTTCACCTTCGTGGATGCCAACAAAGGTTGAACGACCCTGAATTGTATAGACTAGTGGCTATCGCATAGGTACTCCAGTAGGGTCCTAGTTCAGGTCACTTGACCTCTCTTGAGTTCGTGACTCGTGTGGCTTCGACAGCCACACGCGGCGCCGACATCGATCGTTGATCTGATCACCCAGCTGGGCGAAACAAACCCCGGCTTCCAACCCGAGCAAGCATGGTAATCAACCAGTGTTCCCTGCAGCTACTCCACTACAACTTGTTCAACAAGGTCCTACCATGTGGTCTTGGAATCCTAGGGCAACCACATCCTCAGGTGTTTGGGCCCGGATTCCGGGGAATACGCCCTCATCCGTCCGTGTGGCTGGGGGACCTGTTAGTGAGTGGCAAAAATAGGTATCGCGTTGGTGACCGATTCACACCGCCCCTTGACCGGTGTGAATCGAAAGAGACGCCCAGCGGCGAGTCTTGCGCAACTCCTCCTCTAAGAACCTGAGGAAGAAATAGGCGTGAGAAGTCTAGACATGGCGGATTCAATTCCAGATCCAAAAAGAATTTATACTCCGGCTCACTACCATGGAAGTGAACAAAGAACGTGTTCGTAAAGGAAAGTCGTCCAAGGCACCATTGTCCACTTCCATCTTCGTTGTCGTCAGAGTGTACGGACAGTGACCATGTCTGACACATCTGATAGGGCTTCTCCTCTACAAGTAGGTGCCACTTACATCCACTTCACCAGCTCGCCTCTCGGACTTGTCTCGCACCGACCAAGCGACTGGCGGTCCAAACCGACCGGTTGAGCTCCGGTTCACCGGAGCTCCAGCTCACCGAAGTTCACCGAGAAGGGCATCCCATGGGAACCAGAGGGCCCCACTCACTGTCCCGGGCCGAGATCTCGGTCCAACTCGGGGGGGTGACTGGCAGTGAAGCTGAAAGAGCTGACTTGGGGGAGACGACTTGGGATCGTTGTGTTTTGCCTTTCTCAAGTCTTTTCATCTTTGGACTCAGATGTGGCCGGTCGTACAAAAGCTGAGGATCGCCCTCTCAGTCCGATATCACATCGACACGACGGCTATATATCCTCACCACCGATCGCCGACAAAGAAACACCGATCGCCACGATCGCCCAAACTAGATCCCATCTGCAAGCACCCTCCAAAGAAATAGTTTAATTATTGGTTTTTCTTGAACATCTACTATCTAGTCATCTATCTACTTACCCTTGCCAGCTCCAACCCACGACTCACCTGCAAACCAAGGCACTCGGCCTTTTCCTTGGCGCGGTGCAGCTCTTCTGCACGCTCCGACTCTTGTAGCCTGCGGTGGTTTTGGTGTGGCAACTTGTGCCCGGTGTGCCTGGTGTCTCGCACGGTGTAGCTGGGGCCCTGCGATCTTTGGAGGGTGCAAAGGAGTTTCCATGGGGGTTGGCCACAGGTGCTTTCTGGCAAAGTATCAGAAACCTCTGAAATAGCTCAGGTAGTGTCGACTTGCACAATTTGTCGATATAATATATTATTATATATTAGGTTGTTGTTTCTTCCCCAAGGGTGTGTGTGTGTTTCTACCATGCAGGCTTGGTTCTATGGACTGAAGACCTCCCGCGGCGAGATCAAAGTAGATGCCACAAGCCCAAGTTAAGGTGGCTTGCACATGTTTAGATTGAACAATGCAATCGAATACAATATTTACAATGCATCATCAAAATGGCCGAATGGATTGCCGTGCTACAAACTCTGAAGTCATCGTCATGGTTTTATGTTGAAAAACAACTTGCATTTCTCCAACCACTGCTCGCCTTTTCGCCGCCCACTG